GTCCCTTGTGGGTGCTCTGGCCGCATGATTTTGCACTTGTCTACTGTGCTCTGGCGGCATGATTTTGCACTTGTCTGGACTTGGACCTGGACCAAACAAACTGTTTGGGGTCAGCGCTTGTACAATTTGCTCTTGGGGGGGCTACGCCCTCCCCCGAACCGATCCTGGCCAAGTCAACCAACGCAAGCAAAACTTCACAAAGCCACAGCAGAACTAAAGCCAAGCCCAAACCACTTAGGGGGTGACCCCAAACCACCATTGAAAAACTAAGGGGCAACCTAGCAAAACCAATAGAATAAACAAAACAACAAACACAATTCCAACACTAACAACGCATCCCTGACGAAAAACTGACCATTGAAACGCTGAGGGTTAACAGGCGAGGTCATAAAATACCACGAAAGTCTTAATAAAACAATGAAGAGGCGCAAGGGGAATAGAATAGAACGCATGAAAAGGATGTGTTGCAATGAGCTTGTGCTGACGTGTTTGACGGGCCCTAGCTACCTGTGCTGGTTCGCTAGAACCAAAATCATCAATTGATGCGGGTGACGAGGACTTTTTTGGGCAAGGCACATCACCTTTCGCACTAGGAACAAGAAGCTACTAGGGTCTCCTGGCATCGCTACTAGGCGCAAGAACGCTACTAGGGGCTCCTGGCCTTACTACTTGGAACAAGAAGCTGCTAAGGGCTCGACGTACCTTCCACAGGTGATGCATGGGGCGATCTTTTAGTTTTATCAAGGAGACCGTTTTGCCTTTCGGCATTTGGTACATACCTGGGGTTTTCAACAAATTGATCTTTGAGGCCCCACCAAAATGCAAGAACTCCAACTCACCTAACTCTCAAGTTATGTCACCCCATCTCATCCCGCGCCTCATCTCATGTCGTCTCGTTTCTTGTTTAGTTGGGACGAGACTCTCAGACTCTGTGTTGAGTCGAATTTTGGTTCACCCTTGCTCGCTCAAGTCAGATGACGCCTGCCATCGTACAGAACACGCTAAGCTATCATGTGTGATCTCACTTGTTCAATTCTTCGCGCGGCACACGGCATACCTCGCACCCAGTTGTGACTGCACTGCAGAAAAGGGAAAGGAGGATTGAATATTGAGCGCATTGAGCTTCTTCCATTTGAAGGGTGGGGTGGGGCCAATTGCAACTTAGATGAATCTGATCACTGTTATTTGCAACATCTCGTTGGACCGAACTTGATGAATGGGTGATGTGCTCAAGAGGGTCCTCTTGTTTGGTGTGGTCTTCCATTGTGTTGAACCAGCTCCCCGGTGGACTTCAGTGGATGCAACGCGCGCACCTTGAGCGCGATGTGTGTGTGTGTGTGTCGCTGATGTGCAAACGTGCGCAGGCAGTGCCTTGTTCGGGAGCCAGTTGGGGCTGGTTTGGGTGCAGGTGTATGCAGGGCACAACAATTCCATTCAGCGAGTGTCAAAGTGATGCGCAGTTTTGCGTAAAGTATCAGCTGGTCACAAAGAGGCGCGCCGAGTCAGCACAAAGAAGCCCCGGCCCGCAGGCTTTGTGCCAGTAATGCCTTGGCTTGTAAGGGTAGACGAAAAGCCAAAAACTTTTTTTTTGTCTAAGACAAATTGAAGTGGAAGTGAACCTAACCCAACCTCCGTGCATGCCTGGTGAACGCCTTTTTGACGGCCTGCGCTCCCCAAAGCAAGCCACTCAGGAATGTGATCCGACATGATAGCATGTGTTTGACAGTCGAGCGTCAATAAATTGTTGGGCATTTTCGCATTGCACGATCGCACTAGCGACCAGCATGTTGTGGCAAGCAGTGCGAAGGTAACCTGGTATGTTGATCTAGGTTGATCAACATGTACCTTTTCCCGAAGGGGGAACGGAGATGGGGTTGCAAGCATGTTTTTGCCCAGGCAATTATCACAACAACAGTCATTGGGCACAACGACGAGCTCTATGACCCTTACTTTGCCAAATCCGGAGGTTGGGACCACGAAGTGTACTTTGCAACAGTTTGGCGGTCCACATTCACATTGTTTCAAATTATGACTTTGGATCAATGGAATGAATCGGTGGTGCGTCATGTGGTCGCAAACCAGCCGGCAATGCTGATTTTCTTCCTGATTTTTGTTTGCATCAGCAGCCTTGGGCTGATGAGTATTATGATCGGCGTTGTGGTGGAGAACACCTTGGCCACCGCAAACAAGGATCAGAACAAGTTGAAAGCCAGGAGGGAGAGAGACCGGAAGCAGGTGTTTGGGCAGCTTCAGGAGATTTTTGAAATGGCCGATGTAGATGGCAGTGGCACTTTGAAGTTGGAGGAGGTCGAATCCGCAATTCAAAAGCCAGAGATCTACAACAAGTTGAAAATGATTGATTTTCCAGTTGATGATCCTGGGCAGATCTTTGCTCTTTTGGATTATGATGAGAGTGGAGAACTCACCACGGAAGAGTTCATCACTGGATGCATCAGGATGAAAGGACCAGCCAAGTCGAAGGACTTATTGGTGGCGCAAGTTGGTGTGGATTCCATGCGAAAACAATACGCTTTGTTTGAGCAAGAGATGGAGAAATTCCAAGCAAAGGTTGCCATGCTAGATGCCACCATTCGAGCCGTCATGTCACACGGTGAACATGTTTTCCTCGACACTCGGCAGTATCGCATGCGTCATCCAGACTTCAGAGCCCAAACCATGAAGCGAATGGCCACCGCTGAATTCGAGAACATGCCGTGGAATCAAGAGGCAAACAAGGCGAACACTACGGCGGCTGCCATTTTAGACACCCAAGGAGATGAAGTTCAGGCTTGTGAGTTGTCGAACGAAAGTGTGTTGTGTTCCAAGAGCTTTCCCCGACGTAACCTGGTGCGACTTTGCACATCATCGGGACAGGAGTGTCGCAAAGGTTGCACCTGTTGAGCAAAAGTTGCCCTACTGTAAAAATCTAGGAACCAAAGGAACAGTGCGAGCGCTTCTTCCTTGAAGAAGCGTGAGCTATCCTGCGTCCTAGGTCCTAGGTAGTAGCTACTTATATAAGCTACTAGCAGTGCTACTAGCTACCGTTCGCTTCTACTAGCTACCTCCAGCTACTACCTCTACGGCCTACCCACTTAATAAAACAAACAAGAACAAATCTGTGCGAGGCTTTGACCGATGGCCCCAGGGACGCCGCGATTGCGGACTTGGCTCCCATGCCGTTGGCTGATGCAGGTGCGAAAGTGCGAGCAGAAAAATTGCAGCTTTTTGTTGGAACACCCAATTTCGCTGAATGTTTCTAACATGTGTTTGGGAAGATGTGCGATTTGGATTGAATTTCACGCAGTGTCAGGCGCAAAAGCCTTGGAAGACAAAGGTGAGGAGTATGCCATTGCTGTGCCCGGGTCCCTATCCAATTGACGTTGAGAGAAACGGTTTAGAGCACGTAGCGTGGCTCACAGCTTTCGATGTTTCACACAACAGGTTGTCACAGCACAACTGCGCCTGGCCGCGCACAACTGCGCATGGCATGTTTTCACAGTTGGCACAGTTTCTTTGTTTCACTGCACCACTGACAAGATGAGAAGGTCGCCAGAGCGCGCCTAGAGAAAGGAATTTGTTTGAACTAGACGCTTGACACGCTAAGATTTGGCGCTGCGAGACTGGACAAGAATTTGTTTGCTCCGCCATCGCAGATGTCAAGTGAAAAGTGAATCAATGAAATGAAGGGGGTCACCCTTCAAAAAGACTGCTTGAAAGAGAACAACATCATGACACGACCTTTCGAACACACCAAAGTTAGCACATACCTGTTTAAACATCTTCCGGACCCAGCGGCTGTACAGACAGAGGGGTCACGCGGCTTCAACGAAGACCAAGTGATGCCCCATTTCATGCCGAGGGCTAAAGAAGCTTCGATGCAACTAGGCCTTTGGCGGCTTGTTTCTTTCTGTGGTAAACAGAAAAGAAATAGATGCCATACTGCCGTATCACACTGAAGTTACACGTTTTCTACATGATTCTACTAGTAAGGCACTTGTTACTAGTAGCGATGCACTTGTGTCTAATAGCTTCTTGTTACTACATGTGCTGCAACCGAGGATGTCATTACAGAAGAAGACATTGAGACGTGGGCCGGTGCGGTCGTCCGTCTTGGACCAAGGACTCGGCGCGGTGCCGGGTGGGGGTTCACACCAGGGTCATTCAAGAAGATAGGTTGGAGGCCATCGCTAGTATGTTGGAGGCCATTCCAAAAATCAGTTACCATATGTATTACTAAATCATATTAAATCAATCAGTGAGGCAACTCTCCAGCTAAGCACTCAGGTGCATTGTGGCCAGTCGTGAACAGCGAAACGAAAGAGCTGCTGGTCTTCGCCGTTCGGGAACATGGGTTGGGAATCCCAGTGTCACGGTTGGTTTTGGCAAGCAGAACAACCTTTTGATTGCAGTCCTATGATTTCAGGAAGTTCCTAGATGTTGCTTGTTCGAAGATAACTTTCACTGCCTTCAGGCAGTAGGTGAAACTCAACACTTAAAACATTCACGTAATCTTCGCACCCTTGTGTGTGCCAAAGACCTTGTCTCCAAGACCCTGTTGTGGACGCAGACCGACCAATTTCGAGCGTCAAAGACCTTGCACTTCAGAGCATAGCTTCCAGAAAGTGATCGATCTCAGCTTCGCTCAAGCTGAGAAAGGAGAAGGATGCATGACAAGATGATTTGTCGGATTGAACATCTAAGCATATCTCAGCCATGAAGTATAAGCCTCGTCCTCGTAGCCAAGTCAATTGACGCGGACGTATGAAAAGGACTGTGAAGGTTGAAGGCAAGACGCGCGAGCGTTTGGATGGGAAGAGTTTTCCCGAAATGTGCAAATTTATCCCCGGTTTCCCGAACACCTTCTAGAAAGACGGATGCAGCTGAAAATAGAAGGTGAAGAGCTTCGGAAACATGTCAAATGATGACGTCGATGATGTGCTCTGTGATGCTCTAATGGCATGCTATGGCTGTGATGAGAATTTGGCTTGGCCGATTATTCTACCCTCGGTGAGGAAAACTTTACTTGTGCCTTTTCGGACTGTTTGACGTTCTAGAAGTGCGCAAATCTCGAGTCTCGTCATCTCACAAAGCTAAATTGGCACACATGTCAACAGCACCAAACCTGAGCATGACTCACACGTGCGAAGCCGGGTGCCCAGTGGGCTGACATGTTTATACATCAAGCAACATATCGGATACGTCAGTTTTAGACCACTTTTGGACCTTGCTCCAAGGCTGATCCTGGCGGAGCAGACGCGGGTGAGACACTTGGTGCTGTGCACTTTGGTGTTGTGACTTGACCTATTGCTGCTCAGAACACCAGGGATTTGTCGGGATTGATCTCTTCGTTCTCGACTTGGGCGTAGAACGGCATGCACTCGTAAAGCACATCAGCCGTGGCTTTCGCTTTGGAATGCACCATATCCACGAAAGCTGACATGCAAGCGTTGAGATGCTACGGGAGGTGTGATGCCACACATTTTTTCACAAGCACAGACTCACTCAGTCAAAAATCAACAAAAACCTCATGGCCTATAGCCACACGGCGAACGCTGACCGTCACACATTCATGTTCAAGAGCATTGTTGCTTTCAAAACATGTTGTGCAGTATCTCATAGACACTCATGAGACAGTTACTTAGCGATCATGGGACATCGTGTGTTTGACACCCTTGACCTGTGATCAAGACGGCTAAAGCACCAAAGCCAAGAATGCTTTCGTAGGCTTAGACTGCGTAATTGATGTCCTAGGTCCTGGGCGCCAGTCACTCCACAGTTGCTGGAGTGGCCATAGAATAGGTAGAGTCATCTTAGAGTCTCTTTAGACGAAGAGATTGGTGGATAGAGCATAGAGAGCGAGAGAGACAGAGACAGCAAATTGATAAACAGACGAATAGTTAGACGCGCCAAGTTTTGTTGTTTTGAGTTTGGTTCATTTTCCATGGCGATAAAAGATGTGGGGCTTCAGCATCAGTATTTCTAGAGGTGCCGGCTGGCTCAAGGCATGCTACTCCGTGGCATGCCAACATATGCAGCGTTCTTTATTGCAGTCGGCGAATGAATTTGTGGGAAACGGCGCCGGCCTCGAACGCAGGGAACCATGGTGTCAAATTTGGTCAAATCCAAAACTGCTCAGAAACAAGAAGCTACTAGGAGCTCCTGGCATCGCTACTAGGAGCAAGGACGCTACTAGGGGCTCCTGGCCGTACTGCTAGGAGCAAGGATGCTACTAGTAACAGAAACAACATTCTACCTCGAGAAAATCTCACCTGTGGGTCCGGGTCACGTCACAGGTGCCACCATCCGTGTTGCCGATCCCTCGGAGGGGAGTGGTCGCCACAAACATCTTCCCCACTTGCGATTTGCAAGGAGCAAGTCTGTCGGATTCAGAGGTTGGAGGCCACCGTTCTTAGGTTGGAGGCCTGGTAGAGTTGCAAAAACAGCACCAGATCAATGGGAGCAATGGGATGCCGGGTGCTCACTGTTTGCAGCACCATGAAGTAACGCAAAGCATCCGCTCTGGTTTGCGTGAGGCCAACTGGATACTGATTCTGATAGCAGTTGACATGAAACACAGCACTCCCTCAGCCATGGAACGTCTGGGGATGTGTTCTCTAAATCTGATGTGATCCATGGAGCAATCAGAGTAGCAAACAGGACAAATGCGTCGGATGATTCCGCCAGGAGCTGCACAAAATTGTCGGATGATTCTGCACAACCTGTCGTTCTTTGATTTCTTTGACTGTAAGTTTGATGAGTTGGCCGATGGTGTCACCCAGCTGTTGAAGTATGTCCTCCGTCATCTCGAAGTAGCTATATTCAGGGCTAATGTTGTTCAGAGCCTCATAATCCCTTAGATCCAAGACAGAAGGAGCAGCTGATGTCTGGGCAAACGCGAGGGTGCAGGATTTGTTGCGGCTTCAACTTGATGTCCATGCTGTGCATAATGCATGATCGGGAAGTTCATGAAGAGCGCATTCCTGGTTGCGTTGGCAACGGTGAGAGCTGCTGCTTGGTCCACGGTTGCTGAGAAACTTTGGATGCATAATTCGATCGATAGACAATGAGAGAACTGGAAAGAGATATTGACAAGATGGAGATGCAAATTGACAGACAGATGAATCGATATGAATAGTCTATTCAGTGCGGAAATGTGAATAGGCGGTGGCGGACATTGACCGGTAGATTGATCAACAGGTAGATAGAAGGAAAGCAGGATAGATTGATGAGAGAGAGGGACAGAGGGATGCTGGAACGCTACTAGTTACTAGGGGCTCCTGGCATCGCTACTAGGAGCAAGGACGCTACTAGGGGCTCCTGGCCTTACTAGTAACAAGAAGCTACGAACGTAGCTTATTGTTACTAATAGCTTCTTGTTACTACTAGTAAGGCACTTGTTCCTAGTAGCGATGCACTTGTTCCTAGTAGCTGTTTTCCTGCTAGTAACAAGGACGCTCCTAGGAGCAAAGGGCATTGTTACAATTTGGCTCTCATGGACCGATACCTAGATAAGATGCGTGAAGCTACAGCCAGATCTAACGGCACAGACAAACAGCTTGGAGAGGAAAGCAAATAGATATAATTCGAGAAATTCGATAGACAGGTAGGTATGGAGCAATAGGAGGGGTCCAGCAACAGCAACAGGGGAACAGATATCCAAATATATAATTAGATTTGGATGGAATTTCATAGATGATTTGATGATGGATGGATGTTGGATGCCTTAAACATCAAGTGTTCACCTTGTCAAATTGAGGGGGGGCGACACGTAGTAGATATGCGATTAATACCACAGCTGCTCCACTCAGCAGCTGGAGTGGCCGTTTGACCCTGCTTGACTCAGGCTGGAGTAACTAGAGAGGTTGATTCCAGCATGTTCCGCATCACATGCTCTCTGGAAATTTGTGCTAAAACCCATTGACATTGAAGCACTTACAGCTCTGGACAAAGCTACCTCTCATCGCTCCATGTTCAGCACATCCATATTAGACTTGCGATGAGCTGATGTTCACAACGGGCATTTCATCCACGAGAGGCAGCGAACATGTCCCAACAAACAACAAATGTCGACGAAGCGAAAGATGCTGAGTGCCATGAATGCGGCCTTGATAGATACATAATCAACAAATTACGCGTTCTTCGTAAACATACAACCTATTGTACTAATTCTACGTGATACTGCTGCGATACTGGCATTCTCTTTTAACACTTCAGACCTCAGACTTTGTCTGAGAGTTTGTCAAGGCGATGAGGGACACCTTGGAGGTTCAGTCGCAAGCGATGCAGCACACGATCGAGACACAAGGTCGTCAAGTGTCACGTTTAGCGCAAAGCTCAGCACATTAAAGATTTTCGAGCGAAGAATTGGGAGAAGACCATGACAACTCAGAGAAATGCAGACATAACCCATGTCAAAGCTTTACTCAACTCAGTAGATGCTCTGCGAAAGCTTGTTCCACTCGCGTTTGCCACGTGTTTGTTTCTTGCCGTCCTGAGATTGCATTTGGTGGTCTCACGGCCATTTTTTCCCAGCCACGACCTCAGACGTGACAAGGAGAGACACGTGCAA